TCCTCGCCGCAAGAGAAGCCGTCGCTCTCACGGGTGGCCCACTCATTGCAGTGCCATTAGGAAGAAAAGACTCTCTCTCAACTCCTAGCAAACACGTGGCTGACTCTGAGCTTCCTCCCTCCACTGCTGATGTCGACTCTATCTTAAGTCTTTTTGCTGGTATGGACATGACCATCGAGGAGTCCGTCGCCATTATGGGTATATACATATATTTATACTCCTTTTCTTTTCACAAGTAATAAAAATATATAAAAATATTTTTATACACCATACATTTATTAGAAATTTTATCTATTTTATAGAATAATTAAAAAAATCTAGAAAATCTATTTGGGGAACGGATGGTGTATAAAATTTGTAATAAATGTTTATTGTATACATATACACATAATGTATGAATTATGGATTGGGCATATTTATTTCATATAATAAACACTTTGGTTGGTTTTGTTTGATTTCCAGGTTCACATTCAATAGGAGTGACACACTGTAACAACGTGTTATCGCGTTTTGATAACGTAAACGCCACGAACGCGAACATGGATCCACGTTTTCAAACGTTTTTGCGAGTTGTTTGCCCAGAGTTTTCTCCAACATCCAAAGCAGCTGAAGCCACCTTTGTTCCGAACGACCAGACTTCATTGATCTTCGACACGGCTTATTACGATGATTCTATAGCGGGACGTGGCAATCTGAGAATTGACTCGGAGATTGGAGTGGACCCACGCACGCGTCCGTTTGTCGAAGCGTTTGCGGCTGATCAAGACCGTTTCTTTAACGCTTTCTCTTCCGCGTTTGTTAAATTGTCTTCTTACAAGGTGTTAACCGGGAGTAATGGAGTGGTTAGAAGCGTGTGTGACAAGGTAGATTGATGTATATTTTTATAACAATCAAATGATGTTATAATCCGTTAAATGAAAAAAAAAAACATTGGGTGAAGCATATTGTTTATATACATTGTTTCACAAATTCATCGTAAGTTAATTAACAACAAGACTTATACCAAACAAGTTAACAGAAAAGGTTAAATAACTATGTTTCGGATCATATTTTAATGATAGTTGGATGTTTGAAATGATAGCTAAATCTATTAAACGGTACAAAGAAATGACTAATCGATTTATCGAATTGTTGAACTCGTGTTTAATCGAAATAAAATACTTTAACTGAACTACAATTGGTTCATTTTATCTTGGCACCTGGTGGATCATGGCCGTTTGACTTTAAACCTGATATTTTTGGCCGTACTTTTTATTCTCTTGCAGGTTTAGTTGGGGGACGAGTGGCATCATTTTGATATTTAATTATAAACAAAAGAGAAATAGAGTTTGAGAAATTCGGTTGTAGGCAATGTGAATGGAAGATACGAAAGAATGGACCTTGCAAACTTAACAAAAACACTGGAATGTTTGATGTTTGTTTTCCTTGTAATGCTGAAAAGTTAAAGAAACTTCGAAGTTTGTTTCCTAGTAATTAAAAAAGAATGGACCTTGCAAACTTAACAAAAACACTAGGAAACAAACTCGAGCTTTCGCGCGGGTGATTAAATTCTTTTCTAAGGGTTTTTTGTTATTAATATTCATAATATAAATAATTAGACTTAAAAGTATTTTGTTGCTTAAAACTATTTTTTTTTATTTATCTTCCACATTTATTATTTATGTATCAGTTTAGTCTACGCAAGTTTTGAGAAATGAACCATGCGCATACAAAAAACATCAGAAAAAGGATTTATGAGAACAAAGATAAAATGTTATCAATGTTAGATACTCAGAAAGAACAAACAGATTTGTAGAAGTTTTTAATGACCTACCCCAAAAATAAATAGAACAAAAAATAGCAATTTATAACAAATGCATTTAAAGTTACAAATAAAAAGATTAATGTTGACCTTAAAATTACTGGAAAATTCTTGGATATGGAGAATTATTATTAAAATTTACATTTTCACCTCTATAAAGGTAAAAGAGATGTTAAATGAATTAAGTTTCTTACAAATTGCATAGAGTTTTTAAACAATTTGTTAGGTTTGTCAAGACATAATTGTCAAGACAAATGGCAATTTTAAAATCGCATCTGTAGAAAAATTAAGAGAATAAAATGCTATTCTAATCGATGTAACTACTTAGATGTATAAAAATAGTCACACTCGGAAAATAGATGAGCCCCACATTCAGAAGCAAAAGACCAAAGCAAACAATCACATGGAACATCAAGACCATCATAGGAATGTTATGAACATTGTTATGAACATAACATCACAGGAATATTCACGAAATTTAAGTTTCTTTACAAATTTGATCTGATAAAAAAACACTTTGCCAAGTTGTTGAATAGTTTCCTTTAAGATTGCTACTATACTTGTCTTTACGTTGTTTGCTGTCCTCAGAATATAAATATCTTCTATCAACGCATCTACTTCAGATTTTAGATAACTCTATATAAATGTGTTCAAAACCACTCTCGCTCTATCTCCACATCTAAAAGGTACATTTCTAAAAATGTATTTTCATCTATATTAACATATAACATTCAGTTTAATTTACAACTTCGAAAATTGTTTCATTTAGCAAAGGTTCAAGATAATCTAGAGTATATATGTTGGCATGGCTTTTTCTTTAACCTTCTTCTAAAAACATGTGCTATCCATTTAATCTTCTTACATGTCTGCTTGTTATAGTACTTACTCTTGATTTCAGAGGCGGAGCAAGAAAATGAGTTATTTTTGGGTTCAAACCCTAGGATGAACTTCTATGTTCATCATCCAATAGGATTGCATTATTTCATATTTGAAATCTTTTAAAAAAGAAAACAAAATCTTGTTAAGTTATATTATGTTTTCAAAAACAAAAATAAATAAATAATAATAATAATTAATAAAAACAAAAATAATTTTTTTTAAAGAAAATATTTTAACACTAAACACTAAACTCTAATCCTAAACCCTAAACCCCTAGGTAAATCGAAAATCTTTGGATAACTTCTATAAAAAACATAATTATAAAAAACATAAATTTTTTTTATTTTTTTTTATTTATGTATTTTTAGTTTTAAAAACATAATATAACTTAATAAGATTTTTTCGTTTTTAAAAAGATATCAAATATGAAATAATGCAATCCTATTGGATGGTGAACCCAATAATAAGTCCAAGAAAATTCTTTTATTGGGGTCAATTTTTAATAAAATTTTAAAATTTGTAATAATTTATTATTTTTCTAAGTTGGCTAAACTAAAATTAAGCCCAAACTCAATATTTAGTCCAAACACGCGGGAAGAGCTAATTTTTAGTTTTTGTATATTAATGTTATTTTAATGTAATTTGTTGAATTGTTCAACCATACTGAAATTTTTATATATATATATTAATAATATTATGGAGAAAACAATAGGTTTAATATACTTATATAATCAATAGGTGTATAGTTAAAATGTGTATGAAATAAGGCAAATGTCATGTAATGTATTTATAAGTTAAATAGTTCTTGATTAGAGTAGCAATATTAAGTAATATAATCGTCTTCGATTATTTTTTTTCCATTTTTCTTTTTGGCCGTTTTACTTCATCTGTCACTTCTCCATTGAATTTGTCATGTCTTCTTCGCTTTGTTGTAATTTTTGCTCTTCTGTTTTTCTTGTTTTATTTCGTTTACAAGCATTGACTTCTTCTATCTTGCCAGCATCATTATCAGTTTTATTTATTATTGTAGGCTGATAAATTTAAATGTAAAACTTTGAACCTTATGTATAAAATATTGGAGTTGTTTTTACATATAATATTCTATTTCAAATGTATTCTACCTCTTCTTTATTAATTGGGTTGTCTGTGATTTTTGTAATAGTTAATCCTGCCGAAACTGAATTATAATAAGAGAATGTAACTTTTACATAATTTAAAAAATTTCCCAATACTTTTTTTTGAAAGGTATGAGATAATTGCATTATCACTTGAATCATTCTATGTTTATTCCTGCATACATAATTCTGAGAATTATGAGATAATTTTTTTTGAAAGGTATGAGATAATTGCATTATCATTTGATTAAATTTCACGGAAGTGTAATTCTTATAATAATTATTATAAAAAAAAAATTTCCAATATTTATATTGTTTCCAAATAAATATTTTTTATATATAAATTTGTATACTGTTTATTTTATTACTAATGATGTAATGTTTTACTAACCCTTCTAGTTGCAGGTTAAGTTTATTCTTCTTTGTCCAATAATAATAGCATCACTATTTAACTTTTCTTCAACAATAAATATTCAGTGCCAGATTTTAAATAGTAACAAAATTATTTTATTATACATTATCATAAAATTTTGATCTATAAAAAGTAAAAATACATGTTTACGAATATACAGGTCTTATTAAAAAAATGTGGATAATTTAACAAATGGTACAAGAAAAAATAAAATTACTCACTATAAACTGTAAATTATTATATTTAGAAATCTTATTAAATAATTATTTAATATGGGTAAATTGTAAAAATATATATTATATATATACGAAATCAATATTATTTATAAAAAAAATAAAATAAATATTCACGCGGAGGCACGGATAAAAAGTCTAATATTTATTAAAATACATAAATATAATAGTTGGTGTTTTAATTTTATAAATAAATACATCAAAAATTGTTACTATAGTCAAAAATAATAATTTACAAATATGTTGTATAACATATTATTTTGTTTAGTTTTATAGCCAACCATAATATGAGCAATTACAAATTATAGACAGTTAAAATTGTCGATCTATCATAAATACAAACATTATCTATTATATAAAACAAAGCTTCTCTCCTTCTAAAGTCCGCCACGTCGGATGCCACATCATTAAGTCCACGTGTACTTTCCAGCAGATTTCTATTTTCGTTTTGGGCCGTTTCTATATTGGTTTGTAGGCTTCAATTCGCTTCTGGCCCGATATGTCTGAAACACTAACCCTTATCCTTTCCTGCGACGGCGACTTTTGCGTTTCACTTCTTCGATGGTGGTGACTGTAGATTCTAGGGTTTCACGTATCCTCAGAGCTCTGAGTACATCGGTTATCATGGAGGTTCTGGAATGTTTTCTTGCAAATATTTGTGTAGAATCACTGTCTCGAGAGATACATGTTATAAAAAGAAAATATATTTTCTTTTCTCTGGAATATACGTTGAGCGTCTCCTTTTGTGATCTTCTTATTTGGTTCATCTCCTTGATCCTCTTTTACTTACGCTTTCCGGCGTAAGTGATGGCTAACACTAGGGTTTTCATCACTGATCTCAAGTTAGGCAAGTGTTCTGACTCCTCCGGTTCTGGAAGGCCAGAAGTTTCAGATGTGTCTTTAAAGCGTTGTTTGGATCTTAGAGTTGGTTTGGTGTTTGTATAACTAGATGTGAGATCTCTCTCCTTGAACTCATATTCTCTTCAACCATTAATCTATTTTATTGAAAAGCTTGAGTTTTGATAATTCTGGTTTCGTTATATTGATTTAGAAAGTTTTAGTTTAGATGAATTTTTGTTCGTTTATTGATTTTATTCAAGCTTTAAGATGTAAGATGATGCAAAGTTACTCGATATTTAATTTATGCTGTTAGAACTGATTAATACCAACACTCATATCTTGATCTGTTCTGGTGTAGACCGTTCTGGTTTAGACTGAAATGCTGGTGCTAGGTAGAGATGCAGTGTTTACTTCTCGAAGCTTAAAAACACCCGACTTTTTAGCTAATAAGTAAAAAATGTCAATGATGGGATTTTGTAACCTTCCAAATTCTTAACCTTTTGATTGCATTACGGTTACTATAACTAAGGTTACGGAGACATGTTTTGGGCAGAGGAGGAGGGGACACGATCTCTTTTGGAAGACTCTTATCTTATTTTGAGGCTATGGCTCCGGAAGAAGAGCAGCTGCTCAAACTTCGGGAAGATGGGAAGAAAGCCAGATGTGCTGCGTCCAGTGAAGCTACTGATCTGAATGATGCAGGGGTAAACGGTTCGTGGTTTACTGATTTAGAAGCAAAATATGAGATTCTTGAACTTACTATTTTTTGTTATTTCGTGCAGCCAAGTTCAGTGTACATCAGGCCATGGCATCCAATGGTCAGCATTAGGAGGCTTTCCTGGAACGTGCTAAGGCCCGAACAGATCTCAAGTTCACTTATGTTGTTTCTTGTCAGGTCTATGGAAGCCAGAGAAAGTCTTTTGATATCCACAACAGGAGTTGCTACACAAATATTTTGCAGCTCATGCCTGAAGTATGATAAATTTCGATACATTTCAATGAAAGTTATCATTTGTTCTATGTTCTCTAACTATGTCAATTTTTTCCTAGATATCTATCACTACGGGTTTCTTATGTAGGAGAGAGGGGAGAGACAGCAGATGCTAAATCTTCTAAGGTCTTCTACTCTGTTCTTCTCAAAGGAGGTAGCAAGTTTGATGAGGTACGAGAAAATTGCATGCTGGTTATAAGTTTGTATATATGTCACTCTTCTTGATGTGACTATTCTTTCATCGTTAGGAAATCTAACGTATCAATCTTCCAGGTACACCAGGTAAAATTGATGAAAGAAAGCGTGAGAATCAAAACCATGCTATCATACTATATATATGAATCAAGTATATGTTACTCTTCTTCATTCTCATAACTGTAGATTTAAGTATAGTATCCTCATGATTAGTCTCTTTGTGCAGGACAACTACTTTGAAGAAGCTTTCAATTTAAAAAATGTGTTGGAGGAGTTTAAAAAGGAGCGTGATGTTGGACGCAAGCCAACGATTGGGTCTCGGAGAACATATATTTACGGAATGTATAACTTCCTCGCAAGATATCAGTTTCTAAGATATGTCTAATCATGAAAGTATCAACGATGTGCATGTTTGTGTCCTTATGTTTCTCCCTTTCTTGGTAAAGTTTAAAGTTTATGTTTAAATAAGTCGTCCAGAACAACGCGACTGCACCTGCATATATGTTTTTCTGGCGAGGCATGTTCCACAGTTTGTCAGGGTTGGTAAGGTAACCACCAAATAGCCATGGACGGTGATCCATGTCAGCGACCATGTTGGCTTGAACGCATCCTTCTAAGAGCATAAATCGAGTGTTGTTAATAAAAAATTTAGTATACATATGTTAGGATAATTTGTTGAGTGATCTCTGTACTTGGAATTGAACAGACGCTCTTCATACTCCACGTCTTTTAGTTGGTTGCCTATTAGCTAAAGAGTACAATAAATATGGTTCTGTTTTTGAGTTGCCAACGTAATTTGCAGAAATAGCAATACAGTATAATAGACAATCTAATGGTAATACATCATCCTGACGCAGCCGCAAAGATGCTAAATGATAGTTTGATGTTGACTTTAACACGTCTGAAACTCTTATAAATTCTGATCAGCTATAAGTCTGCAATTATCTTCATATATGTGTAATATTTTGAAACTCTTAATATACACACAACCATAAAAATCAAACATAATGAATCTTAACATATACAATTCTTCCAGCCTAAACATTATTATACATTTTTCTTACAAATGCTAAAAAAAAAATACATGCAATAAAAAAAACTATGAAATAGTTATATACATCACACATAAAGTATATTTAGTCTTCAAATACAATAGCATGTATAACACCTAACTAATATGTATATTGTTATATAATAAAAATTTATATTAAAAATATACTATAACTGTTTTAATTATTTATAAATTTTCATCCCGCCCGTAGGGCGGGTCGGCCCTAGTGTATTATAAATTGAACAAACATCCATAGAGACGCATGTTTGTTCAACCATTACATTAATTTCATATGTCTATTCTGTTTAACAAATATTTGTGCGGATGCACGGATCAAACTTTAGTAAAATAATTAAAAGAAACATTAGCTTATGTGACTAAAACACTTTGGCAATTAGACTAAAGAAAAAGTGGATTTAAGATGAACGCTTGAGTTTCTTAATTAACAAGACAGTTGTTAATTGTTAGAAAATAGAATAGTTGCGTTAGTGGTTTTTGAAATATTTTTAATGCTAAAACAGATAAAAATTTTACATTTTTTTGAATATTGCATCAGAAAACATTGACTGATTTAATTATTTTATCTATAAAAATTAATTATAATTAGTTTTTGTCAAACTAAAATAGATATATTTTGTAATTAACTAGATATTTTTTCCGCGCTACGCGCGGATAATTGTCTATTAAATTTTATTACTAATTTTCTTGTGTTCATATAAATAATGTATAATTTTCATGTATATATAAACGATGTAGTGTTTAATATAAGAGGTGAGAGATGTTCTATTTACGGTGTTTGAATGTTGAGTATATTTTTCTCGCATTTTTGTAACAAAAATCATTTTATTAGTTTGCTAAAATACCAAAATAGAGTTTAGAATATATAGCATTTCACATAATGTGAGGAAGTTGTTTTTATATGGGAAAATTCATATAAATATCCTAACTAAATTTTATTAAGCTTTTTAATATCCAAACTTTTTTAGTACTCAGTTTAATACCTCAACTAATAATTTTGCCCACTTTAATATACACATTTTTATAACTGTGCCTATATTAATACCCAAACTTTGTTTATTTTAATTAACAATACTAATAAGTTTCAAATAAAATTTTAAAAAATCTCCAAAATCTAAGAAAAAATATTTAAAATTTCTAAGTTTAATCTAAGATTTAAGAAAGAAGGTAAATAAACTCTGGAGAAAATTTAAAAGTTTTAAGAAAATAATTTTGAAGGAAAAAAAAATTACTTTTTATTTCAGAAAATAAACTAAATTCAATATATAAAACTTAAAAAACTTATTACAAAACTTAAGATTATAAAAAATTTATTTAATTTCATTTCTCTAACATATCATAAATCAATTTTTTTGTAGGGTTTAGAAATTTTAAAAATTTTATTGGAAAATTATTCGTATTGTTAATTAAAATAAACAAAGCTTGGGTATTAAAATGGACACATTTATAAAAGTTTGTGCATTAAAATGGACAAAATAATTAGTTGGGGTATTAATCTGGGTAGCAAAAAAATATGGGTATTAAAAAGCTTAATAAAATTTAGTTGGAGTATTTATATGGAATTTTTCCTTTTTATATACATGAGTTAGAGTAAATTCGTGTAGCCGATGATGATGTGAAAAATAGATTCCCTATAAATAAGAATTATTAACCAGCATGTATTATATTTTAAAGTTTGTATTTGTTTTGACCTTTGTATATTTTGGGATAAAGCTTATCACCATAACAATTTTATATTTGCGATTTAGTTATGCTTTGCAGCTTCCTGAACAGAGATGTTTGGTTGTCTAATAGTGTAAGCTTAACAATTATCAATTTGTTGAATCATTTATAATATATTGACATATAACTTACATAATATTTAATGACAATATAATTTAAAGCTAATGTATTGCTTGTTTTTACTATAAAGAAATATTTTAAATTAATTATGATTTAGTATTCTATAAATTAATTATTATTTGAAAATATCATTATTTATATTAATAAATTTTAAAAATATGTTAAAGATATGTTTATAAATGTGTATATATTGTGGAAAATGAGTATATTATTTGGAAAACTAAAATTATACTTTGTAAATATTATACAGATTGGTCGTTCTATATAGTATACTATTGTGATTACTTTTTATTATAAATTTAGTTATCTATATTTTAACGATAAATTAGATTAAAATTGAGTAATTCTATCAAAGAATATTAAAATAGAGTTTTTTTTAATCGAAAGAGCACACAGAAAAAGAAAATTTCTAAAATATGTTCCATTATAAAGATAAAAGATGTTTTTATCATGGGTTTATAGATATATAAATATAAAGTTCAAAAGACTGTCAAATAAATTGGTCAAGAATTAATGAGAAAAAAACTATGGGAAAATTTTAATGTGTATACACAAAAAGAAAAGTTAAAAGTGAATAAAGAACTAAGAGGGAAACAAAAATAACAAAAACCAAGCAAAAGCATATACATAAGCCAAAATTAATTATACTTCATAATTCGGAAGAAATAACAATCACACGATTATATATAAACCATTTAATAATCATTCAATCACAAAACTTAATGAAAAATAAAAATAAACAAAACGAAAATAACAACTCACAATTCACTTATTGGAAAATGCCTAAAAAGTTTTTAGCAGCTGCCATCAGATATAACAGACGAAAAGTATTAGAAAATTGTCTCTTGAATTATTTAACTTCCAAGGCTTAAAATACTACTGACACCTTAGTGAGTGTTCCAGGGTGTTACTAAGATGCATTGTTTGTATATGTGGTTGAATTTTATTGTGGTCAATTTCATTGTATCACTATTTGGTTAATGAGAAGTTGATGTTGAGTTAAAAAAAAAAAAAATACTACTGACACCTTTCAAGATGCTTATCTTGGTTTCTTTCTTTGGACATATATAATCCTACAACAATCATCATATTTTTTTTTCTGAATTAGGCACATAGACGAAGGATGTTCGGTGAAGAACATGGGAAGAGCTCCAACTTCAGATCGATGTTGCAATCAAATTTGATGGTACGTACATATGGTTATGTGCCCTTGATAGTATTCCAAAGAGTTGGGATAGGATTTCCGAGAACTACTTCACATTCCGGAAAAGGTCACAGAATTTCATTTCCACAGCTGGAAAAATCTATACAACACCTGCAGATACATGTGTTACAATGGATTAAAAGGTTGTGATAAAAACATTAATATCAGGAACACAAATAGACATCGCAACGTGAGTAAGCCACGTTCCAAAAAAAATATTAAGGAGAATTGCCCTAGGAGTTAACATATGACAACTAATTAACCTAACATTCAATAATTATCATGCGTGGAGTTACCATTGGATGATAGGTACCTTCTTTTATAATTATCTAAAAGACATTCACCGTGTTTTAGCTAAAGACTGTCGAGTAGAGACACCGTGCAACAGTTTGACAAAACCCAAGAAGCTTAGCTTCCCATCAGTGTGTCTAATCCAGCCATGTAGAATGGTATGGACTGGGATCGATGATCCAAACCAAGTTCCTACAGAAAAAATCATGTATGACCTCCCTTTAACACTTAGCTGAAAACATAGTGAATAAATAGTCCCAAGTGACCAAGACAAACTTACCAAAGCGAGTTCTTCGATGATGATAACTCTGTTTCCATTCATCTAAAAGAGCTCATAAGCATGGCGAACACTCTGCTCCCAACAATCAAGTGACTCATGCTGATGAACACTGATGGAAGCTGCACAAAACTCTTCAAAATCCATCCCTTGGTATTCTAGTCCATTTACCTATCATTAACACCCAAACCTTTTGTTAGTCAAACAGGGTAAGCAAGCAAGAAACTGAAAAGAAAAGACAGGACAATACCAATGCAAGAAAGCTGGTATCCGTGACTCCTTCACTGCCTCTGTCGCATTTGAAGCAAGTGCCTGTTCAAACAGAAAATGAATATTGAGCTTTGAGCTGTATGTTAAGAGACCAAGAGAGAAGGTACATACCAATCTGATGTTATCCAAAGTGATGAGACCGTTCTTGTTAGGTGCTAAAAGTGCAAACTGAGCTTTCAGATAAAGAAGTTCGTCTATAATCAATGTATTAGACAGAGCCTGGAGAGAGTATATGAGTTAGACCAAGACATTAAAAGGTGAAGCAAGCTAGATAAATGTACCATCAAAGTAGCTTTACGCAAAGAAGAAGATTTCAAGTATTCATCTTTTCTTACAACCAGCGATCCATGAATGCACTGGGAAAAAATATATAAGTAAAGTTAATTGGTATTCATCACAATAAAGATAAGGAGATATTAGAGGTACTGACTCAAAGCTTGAGAGGCTGTCATTCTCTTTCTAGGATCTTTGTACACTAACCGCTTAACAATACACAATTTTGTAATAAAAAACTATGTTAAATATTTGGTTCACCACTTAAACTCTTACATACTTAAAAGTCCTAAACATACATCTTCATCAATTAGAAGCATCTCCTGACCAATCAGTTTCTTCGTCCTTGGATTGATAGCCTCCCAGAAGTGGATCAGACGAAACCTCAGAGCTGCTTCATGTGGGCCAAGAGAAACGTCTCCGAAGAGCATCAGTGGGACTTCAACCGGTGCCATCGATGTTGGAGACGTAACAGCACCCTTGCCGTGAGGCTTCGTGACAACGGCGGAGGAAGCAGAAGACGTAGAGTCGGGCGTAGCAATGGCGGAGGAGGAGCCAATCTTCTTACCGGGTTCCATGGAGACAAATATTTGAGAGAGAATAGAGATAGAGTGGATTTTCGTTTCAGCTTAAGCGATAAAGAAACCTGGAGTGAAGATGTATTAATAGTGGAAAAAGAAGGGAGATGAAGGGATTCCATTGAATGAGTAATGGAAAAGATTGATGAGATCAGGGTGTGGAGCAATAAAGCTGATAACAGAAGAGTTTAAAGACTCAAAACGGAAGAGAAACAATGGGAACTGAGAGACTCGAAAGGTTGCAGGGGGCCGATGAGGTTTCATGTGTGAAATGAAAGAGGCGTAGAATTAGGGTTCGTTCAACAAAGAACGAAACGCAACGCTCTCCACCGTCTTGGGCTTCGTGGGTTTTTCTGATTGTTTTGCTAAAAACGTATTAGGCCCACACAGACCAAATAAAGCCCATACGCAAGAAGGAGAAAGTGACGTGGCACTAAGACAGATTCTGATTGGTTAAATATAAATGCACACGTGGCTAGTGTTAGAAGGCAAGAATAGTGCCTAATAGAGTAAAGATATTTTGTTTGTTAGTTTAATTACATGTTTCTTACCTATAGTAATAAGTATTATTATTTTTAATGCAGAATTTGTTATAAGATAAATTTTAATTTTTTATGGCAGTTATAAACGTTTGCACGGCTCTGACTAGGAGTACATAAAACAAATAAAATGTCAATATAATTATTATGTTTCAAGTTTAGCTTAAACACACAAATTTAGACACAATGTTTCTTCTATTATTTTGATTATATAACAAATAACTTTTTCTGTCCTCAACAGATAAGTACAAATGTAACATATGATTGCATAGATATTTATAAGCAACCCTTGCTCAAAACCAATAAAATTCAGGTGCATTGCCTCACAATTTCTTCTTCTACGTTCTTACTTGTATTGATTTGATAAGTATGATACATTTTTTTTTCTAATTGGGGATGAAACCATCAGTTTCAAGACCTGAGTTAAAGATGCAAACCAGCAAAAACGAAAGGTCTAACAAAAAGAAAATAGGATTTCCAAATGGAACTGTTCCTATATTGAGAAGTAGAAAAGACTTTATCACAAACTCACAGATATTTGCTGTGAGAGCATTTTTATCTGCTATTTGCTGATAGTCTTCGACAGAAACGTCTAATAGCATGTGTAAGCGAACCGGTTCCATATCGTCTCAAATATAAAAAATAAGAAAAAATAAGAAAAAAAAAACAAGAAAAATATAAGAAAAATATAAAAAAATTTCAAGAAAATATATAAATAAATTATGGTAAAAAAAGTTTAAAATTTTAGATATATTGCTAGAAACAGATATTTATTAACTTTTAAAATTACTTCTTTAAATCGTTAAATATATAATTAATATTTTTTCAATTGGATTTAGCAATATTTGAGGCACCCCTGGAACACATGTAAGCACACATCTCAGGCTTCTTAACACGGTAGATCTAATACTGTAATATTATGTATATATCAAATAATATGTCTTTAGTGAAAAAGATTTTTGATAGATTGCTAAAGTAAGATCATCCAATGGTCTATTCGTGGTGTAGAAGCTTATTTTAATGAATATAAGCTAAACGTGGGGAAAGATCAAGTCTCATATAATCAAATATATGTAGGCAGTAGATTGAAAAACCAAGTCAATTTTATCTCAACCCGTTGGATGATATGTTTTCGCATTTTATATTTTTTTTCTGCACTTAATCCATTCGTTAAGTAAACCCTTTGAGTATATGCTTGAAGTATTGGAATTCCATGTTGATAGATAAATCCAGGTCTATTTGGCGACGGATGTGTTTGTACATAGGGCTTTTAGAAAACTGATTATTACTAATAATCAGTTTTATAAGAAAACTTCTGATTGATATATTTGACTACAACATCTTTAGAGTAGTACATTTTAAACTGGTAAATGTAGATGTCTTGTCTCTTTTTATACGAAAAAGGATAAAAATACAGGAAACTGGTAAATTACACTACTTTCTAAAGATAAACCTAGTGTAGGTATCGGTTATTAGCCGAAAGGGCTATTTAACCTTCTAGACAATGGTGCAAATATGGCCGGAGTTGGTTGTGTTGTTCAGGCTACTGCTATGCAGATGTATTATGGGAAATTGGCAACAATAATCTTCTTTTTGGATCAAATGGAAACAATAATCCTAAAAGCTATAATTAAGTAACTAACCATAGCAATCCGGTTAGAATATATCATGTATAGTATATATTAATTTCTCATTTTCGCACATATTTTTCTTTCCTGCGTCTTTATGATAGTTTTTTTATTTTCCTTCACAACTTAATCAACTCTTTTTCTCCATCTCGTGATTTCAATCCAACGACGATCCAAATTGTGTTGATTAAAAAGAAGGTGTTATGGTTGGTATTCAATCAGTGATAAAATTAGAAGAACTAAATTGTGTTTTATTGTGCAAAGAATTAAACTATGGTTAATTGTTCTCAATCAACATGATATGGAAAGAGAAAAATAGTTACGGAAAATAATTTTCTCACAGTTTATTACTACACTTTCTTCTAATAGAGTTATTGTTGAATTTTCATTCAATCGTATATTAAAAGAATGTTTAGAAATTTTATAACGTTTACAATTCCTCCATCCTTCAAAATTATTGAAGATATAAATTTTGCCTTCCAATAATTGCAGAAAAAGTTGATGTATGTGACGTGTATAGATTGATCCCATAATAGTTAATTCCTATATTTCAAATTTATATCTGTTTTTACAATACATTAAATTATTATACTGAAATTTTTGAAAATATTATATTTTCATCCAGTAAAAAAAAAATAAGATTTATAATTCCATTACCATTTTTAGGATTTCTTATTTCTCATAGTCGAATTATTCTGCCTAAAATGTTTTGTTCTCCACAATTTATTTTGATGTCTTCAACAGTGGCGAATCTAGAAAATATATTGTTGGGGAAAATTTTCTTTTTGATATATTAATAAATTTTTGTTTCATATATTTTTACTAAGGATAACATTTAAAAGAAAACACACAATTTTATAGTTTATATTGAGTAATTTTAATAAGGACATTTTAAACACACAAATTTATAGTTATATTGAGTAGTTTTATTTTATTTTGTAAACCAACAATTGTTTCATCTTTATTTTTAAAAATATGACATGTATATCTGCACAAATGTATTTTTATTTTTATGGATCAAAAATTTAGGATAATGTATAACTAAATTATTGTATATACTATTTAAAATATGGTCCTATATATTTCTACATTTTAATATTTATTATATTGAATTTATCTTGGACTATTAGTTATATGAAAATATGTGTAACATAATATAAATGTGTCTTTTGTGACTTTTATTTTGATTATTACTTATAAATAATAAAAATATAATTATATATCTTTGAAAACAATATTGTTCATTAAATATTTAAAGATAAGTAGATAATAATAAGAAAAAGTCTTAAAAGGTAAGTTAATTAATATGGAATTAATTATTATATATATGGAATTAGTAAAATAATTACCAGATAATTTATGTATTTAATTATAAAATGAATATATGAAATTATCTTTTCATTAACTATTGTTGCTATAATTTTTTAGTTAGAATTTGATTTTGGAAATACATTAATTAAATGAAAAGATAAAAAAACTTATAAGATAGGCCAATTAATAATTTCAGTGGAATATCATTATAAATAATTAGAAAATTTTAGGAGTAAATGCAGCAGTGAGTCTGTAACAAAGAACTATTATTATAAACCTTTACCATTTTATTTATTTTATAATAAAAAATAATATAAATTCAGTAAGAATATGCCCTTTACCACTCACTGGTCATGTTTTCAGTTCTGCTGATAGTAGTATTGAACACTTTTCTCAAATGTTATATTTATCTTTATAAAGAGATCGTTTTTTCTCGATGCCCATGGCCAGTTAGAAGCATATCTCTGAGCAAAGTAATAATAAATTCTGTTAAACAAGAAAAATCACTGAACACAATTAAGGTAAAACTATTTTAAAAGTAACGAAAGGAGAAAATCAGAATAAGCTTTCTAGGCAGCATTATGCATCAAAAAGAAGTTGAATGTCAATCAACAACTCAGAGCCCAGTGCATATTCATCATCTTTTCTATCCGTACCTATCAAATTACAATTTACATTAAAAACAATAAGAATCCTCAGCGTAAAAAGTGCTTATAGCTTTTCATCAATAAATAAAATCAGGTCTCAAAGATTTCATGCCATCATAGGATCCTTTAAGTGTACCAAGATAAAACGAATAAAAAGATATTAGATATAGCACGAGCTTATTCGCTATGCCTGATTTACATAAGCCAAGCGACTCAACGCCCCTGCTCAAATTTATCGCCTCTCGAGTAAAAAAGATCATCCCTTAGATTAAGAAAAAACTCTACAAGAAAATTAATCTGAGAGGCGAATCTAATCAGGAAATAAAAAGACGTGAAAACCATTTTAAAGAAAGGGTAATTAACAGCAATCATACGCAAGCGAGAAAGACAAACTTGGAGTGATTACTATTTATACATGCGGTTATGGTGTAATTAGGGTTTAGTGAGAATAATGGGCCTTAGTGATAGACTAATAGGCCTTATAATTCATTCAAAAAAATAATAGGCCTTATAATTCAGTACTGGGCTGCTTCAAAGAAAACCCATAACTTTCTTATGTCAAGTTACAATTTTTAGGCCCATATCCTCCTATATCATCAAACAAAACAAAGAAAGAAAGAAAGAATAATTAGGATAAGAATAATAAAAAATAATATATTCAACAGGATAGGATATTGCATCACATGGGAAGAATGAAGATGGTAAAAATTATAAAACTTCAATGTTTATAAAAATGAGATTCTTTGCTTCCCTTTCTTCTTCCTCTCCACATCCTTTCTGACACCTCATCTCTCCCACCACCACCACCTCCGTTCCGTTCCGTTCTCCAAATAAAAAAAAAAGGTAAAAACTAATCATCTCTTTCGATTATTCTTCACCTCTTTGATTTTCGATTCGTCTTATAACAGATCCTCGATTCCGATCCATCACCTCCAAACTTTCTCTGATTCTTTATCGGAACTCTGAAGATTTGTTAATGGACTCCATGTCAACGAGCTCCACCTCCGATCTCTCTCGCCGCAAGCGTAAGAAGAAATCTCCACCGTCTCCACCTCCATCTCTACAAAAATGGAGATCGGAGAAGCAGCAACAGATCTACTCAACGAAGCTCGTCAACGCTCTCCGCGAGCTTCGTATCACTCAACCTTCACCAAATCCTCGCAACGGCAGAGCCGTACGCGAAGTCGCCGACAGAGCCTTAGCCGTTGCGGCGAGAGGCAAGACGCTATGGAGCCGAGCGATATTATCCAAAGCCGTTAAGCTCAAATTCAGGAAACACAAACGGCAGAGAATAACGAACCCTGCGTTGACTTCAACGGTAACTGCAACCGGGAGTATCCGGTCGAAGAATAAAAGAGGAGCAGCGACGGTTATGAGGATTAAAGCGAAAGGATTGCCAGCTGTACAGAGGAAAGTCAAAGTTCTTAGCCGGTTAGTTCCCGGTTGCCGTAAACAGACTTTGCCGGTGGTTTTGGAAGAGACTACGGATTATATTGCTGCTATGGAGATGCAGATTCGTGCCATGACTGCTCTTCTCTCCGCCGTCACGTCTCCGACAGAACATGAAGAGGGACAAACACATGTGCTTGGTTAGTTGGCCAAACTGTCTTTTTCCTTTTTTTTTCTTTTTTTTATCAAATTAAAAAAAAAAAAAACAAAAAATGTTTCTCATTATTTTTCACTGTATCGTTTGCGGGTTTGATTATTTTACTTTCGTCATTTTACCATTCCATCATGTATATCCTTGAATATCTCTCTGTTACAGTGATTGAGCTCTGTACTCGTAATAAAATTTCAGTTTCTTGATAATCGTGGAAGTACATTTGAGTTTGAATGTTGTTTAATCAAGAGAGCTATAATACTACACATGATGACAAGATTCGGTTAATGTTTTAGGTGTTTGGTGAATTAATGTTATGAATTGGATGGCAAATGCGACATTGGAAGATATGATTAAAGCTTTTTGTTTTGTTATGTTTGGAGTTAGGTTTGTGATTGGAATTGAATTCGCTTTGTTATGACACTTCAAATGATTGTTTCTTTTTCTTCTTTTGTAATATGGTTATTTGGTTAGATTTTGGTGATGTAAGAAGGTTAAAAAGGAAATAAAAAAATCTAGAGATTTATAACACGATAGATCACATGGCTGAGAAAGACATAGAGACATGAACATAAATGATTCCGTCACATGCTCCGTTTTGAAAAGAGAAGTATATAATCGACCAATGTATATTTTCCTTTTGTTATGTTTGATTCCTCTAGTAGAAAATTATTACTTGGGTTTAAAGAAAACAAAGTGAATAAAAACGGCAGTAAAATCTTCTTCTTTGTTTTTGGTCGGCCAAAAGGCACTGACTTTGGTGAAACTGTTAGTATTTTGGAGGAATAGTGATAGCAAAAGCAATTCTTTTAGAAAAACAAAAGCAAATTCAAGAAACATAATGTTTTTCTGACACATGTCATGTGGTTTTTACATTATCTCCAACTTTCAATAACCCCACCAACATATATTTTTGTTGCACATGTGATGCATTCAATTGTGTAGACAATAGAAATCTTTGGATAGATATACTTCAGAAGAGATGTAGTAGAGAGATCAGTCATCGTTTTAATTACTTAACTGTATACTCTGACCACATGAAAACAAATATTGTAAGAATTTAGTTAAGTACTTTATTCTAAAATTATTACATTTCATTTACAACGACAAAGTAATAATCATACATATATGTTTGTAAATAAATATTCAGCTAAACTAATATTTCCAGCGTTATTTAATTTAATAGTTGCGATGTGCGTAGCCTAAACTATTTCGTAGCTCACAAACGCGCAAATGATAACTAAGTTTGAATTGAAATCTCAAATTGATGTATTCGTAAGATGAGGGTAAGGAACTAAGGATAGCCATGTCAAAATAATTTATATCGACCACACAAAAAAAAAGATAGTTAGAAAGAGGAGAGAGCACATGGGTTAAATGATTTTGTGTAGTCGTAGAGGTCTTAAGCGTGTATAGTGTCGCTATGAGAGCTTTAAGATGCTTTCCGTTAATTTCCTCTTTAATTCGATTGTCAATAAAGACTATTTACTGGTTTTATTCAATCACCTTTTTATTGTCAACTATTCGAGTCACTTAGTTGTCGGTTTAGACTACACTGTATACACTTTGCATGGTCATGGATTACTAGATTAGCTTGGAAGAAAAAAACAAAACAGAGAGAGAGAGAGAGTACTTTTAATTTTCAAAACATCATTGCTTCAACAAGATACTGGTTTCATTCTCAATTAGGATTCTTAATGTTGCATAAATTATCACCAATTTACATAACCAAATGGTGGTACTCTGGTCGTAAAAATATTTTTTGAAATAAAGCGTAAATCAATTGGTTTCAGCCAAGAATTAAATTGTCATATGGTTGGTCAAATGACATGAAACCATATTTTAGGTTTCATTTGAAAACCGTAAACCACAAATTATTTGTTGGTACCATCTCCATAGTTTGTTTAGGTCCATATATCTCTAATCAATCATAAAAAACTTGTATATAGCAGAATGCATATGTATTGTAAAGTTGTTCAGACATTTTTTGTTGATCAACCAAACCCTCTTTTGAACTTTCATTGTTGAAACACACGCATATATACATTGACCAAAAAAAAAAATATACACGACCAGGGAAAATAAACTTTACGTACATTTGAATTTGAATTTGAATTTGAATTTATTCTTCTTCTTTTTTTGCAACTGTGGATGTTAGCTTAACCAGAATCAAATATCTTCATGCACCCAAAATCTGATGCTCGATGTTTATGCATGTATTTAAACTATGCATCGATAAAGATGGCCAGATGCATCTCTCATATATATGAAAAATACACACCAATTGTGCCTTAGTTAGTAGATTATAGACATTGTTTATCAAGACGGTTCCAGTTTCACAATGACGGGCAGCATGTGGTGTGCCGCTGTCCTAACCATACACAAACCACTGACCACTCTTATTCGTACGTGGGGCACATCACCTGTTGGACCACGCGCGTGTGTTCTAAGATTATCCACTTCCTTACTATCCATAATAGGGAAACAAAATACGGCCATTTGAATCTTTTTTCCTCCTACGTCCAGTTAAATCTATTTAATGCAGTGTTTTGTACTATATATTCAATGCAGACTTTGATGCAATGTTTTTTTTGCAAAATATGGTTATTACTGTTTACTTGTGCAACTATTGGATGATATATTTCTTTTGAGAATATGATTATTCTTAGAATAGATATGTGGTTTTCATAAGCCTGACGTATACGACGAAAACAAAACGTTAGATTCACAACAAGAATGAGAACAACAAACTATTTAAATAGAAAATGTAGATAGGAATTACGGTACGTCACTTGGTTGCTGTGTTGAAACAAGAGATGGGCATTTCTCTGCTGTCTCGTCTCAATCCACGACAAAGTTTGTTGGGTCGTCAAGTAATAGGGATCCCAAGTAATATACAAAAAAAAACAAATTTGTAACAAAATTAATATACAAATCTTCGTTTCTCAACTTCTTGTTATTTTTACATTTTATGTTGTTTGTCACCATTAGTTTTCAGATATTAATTAATATAGATTTATTGGAATTTTAATGGTAAAAGAAACATGCAGTCTACTGTATTTTTTTTGGTCAAAACTAATTTTGTATTGCCCAAAAAAAAAACTAATTTTGTAATATAATATTTTTTTATAGTTAGGAATCTATAAGATTCATTCATCATTGACATGGTTTCTTTTTTTTTACCTCTCCCAACAATTTTTTTCTCTTTGGTTTTATCACTAACGTCTACAAATAATTGTGAGGGATGTTTTCGAGCACGACGGTATAGACTTATAGTAGTAATGTGGATACATGCTTAGGTGGATAACGTTTTCCTAGACAATGTCATGTCTTTTTGGTTGATAGTGCCAAGTTCATATTCATGTTATCCTAGACGGCTAGTTATGAAGTATGCAATGATGAAAATTGATGTCTATTCTATTGAATAGGACTCTAATTGACGAGGTTCTAGTGAGTATGATTCTTATGAGCGGGGGTAAACTAACCAATTTATGGCGAATTATAGTAATTAAAGATTCATGTCTTTTTTCATGTTAGTTGGTGCTTTGATAGAATATGGTAACAGAATATTTCATATCTGACTATAATTCTAAGCATAGGTTTACCTGAAATGGTAACAGAATATTTCAGACTTTGGCCTTGAGATTACTCATGTTTGCCAAAAGGGATACTCACATATATATATCAACATGGTACATTGTTGATACACAGAATTAATAAACTGAGTAATACTTTTAGTGTAATACTAAGTGATAGTTCAAAATTCGTTTGATCTATCAAATGCCTAAAACCTATCTATCTCAAACCTCAACATGCTACGGGAGTAGTGGACTAGTGGTTGTTCTTTCCTTTGTTATCTACATTTACTTTTTATGAAAGGTTACTTTATGATAATCAATTATTGAGTGGCAACTAGATCCCTAGACTTTGATTAAGCGCGGGCTAATCATAGTCTAAACTGGATTAGTTATAGATAATAGATTCTAGAAACATGCGCTCGCAAGGTGGTCGAATTCGTCAGCTTTATTAAGAGACTTTTTTTTTAAAATGAACAAACTAATTTTGATTTGCTAAAAAAATACATGAATTATTAACTCTTAACTAATTTTGATTTACTAAAAAATACACGAATTATTAAGTCTTCCCAGTTAATACACAAACTAATTTTGGTTATCCAATAAATACATAAACTTTTGAAATTTAGAGCTTTTACACTTCAATTTTGACGATGTTAACACTATTTAACGGAGGATTATAACGACATCTATTATTTCATTGTTAAAAATTTATTAAAAATACAAAAATTACTTTTTTATTTACTAAAAAATACATGAACTATTAATATTTTCCAATTAATACACAGATTAGTCTTGTTTATGAAGAATGAGGAGTGTATGATCAGCCTCAGACCGAATTCCAAACAAAATTGAATTATACACATCGTCAAAATCAAGATGTAAATTTATGAATTTCAATGTATTATCATGCAATCAAAAGCGTAATGTAATCATTCTTGTGTATAATGATATATCATCATTCACATGGAGTGACAAGAAAAGTATTCAGTCCACTAAAACTTTCAATAACTAGCTGAGCTAAGATAATTTCTATAGATTAATTATGCCGATCAAAATATGAGATTTCTTATCCCAAAAAATACACGATTTGAAGGAGATCAATGCTTAGAAGTCAATATCAAGTTGAGACTAAAGAAATTAGTTCATTACTAGAAGTACCGAGTCATAATGATATTTTGTAGTGGTTAGAAAATGCAACTAATGAAAAAAGTTCCACAGAGATCTTGGGATCTATAAAATATGAAAGAGAAGATCACAGATGCCCGGCCAATAAGCACGATTAAAACATGATTAAGGTGTAAGACTTTTGAATTTTAAAAGTTCATGTATATATAGGAGAACCAAGATTAGTTTGTGAATTAATTGAGAAGTCTTAATAGTTCATGTATTATTTTAGCAAAATTCATTTGTGTATTTTTAGGAATTCTCGATATAAATATTAAATGCCGTTATAACCCTCCGTTAAACAGAGTTAACGTTATCAAAATCAAAGAGTAAAACCTCCAAATTTTAAAAGTTAATGTATTTATTGGACAGCTAAAATTAGTCTATGTATTAATCGTAAAGCCTTAATAATTCATGTATTTTACAGTAAATCAAAATTATTTTGTGTATTTTTAAGGATTTTTTCTTTTATTAATTTATCATTTTCTAAGTTTTTCAAAGTCCGTCATACTCTCACCACTTATCTAAAACTTAATTTTTCAAACTAAAGTAACACCCCTAGAGTCTGTTATTAAACTTGATTATCATTTTGTTTAACCCTTGAAAGTTGTTATTAACCAATTTTTAAACCGCGCTAGATGCAAATAGGATGGTCCGATCGAGTACTAAAGAGAAAATATGGAATTAATAGGAATTACATGGACGAAATTTTTTATTTTTTTAATATCTTATAAAATATGTTTTTAATTGTTTATAATATTAATATATTTTTATTTT